GGGCAGCGTGGGGCAGTAGTCCCCAGGCTTGCGGTTTGCCCCTGCTCTGTGCTATGGCAGTGAGATCCCGAGCCTCCCTTCTCGGGGCTTCAGGCTCCTGCCTGGAAAGTGTGTGAGAGTAATTGCTTCTTACCTAGCAGTAGAAACATGAGGTTTAAATGAGTCTTTGTTACTGCTCTTCAACCCTGGCTAGAAAGGGCTGCAAATGAGAAATGTATTATTCTGAGTCATCCAGCAGCAAACAAAATTTCAGGGCTGTATGTTTACGGGGACTCAATTCTCAGTCACTCCAGCAAGGACTGGCAGAAATTGTCTTCCCGTTTATCCAGGGAGGAAAACCCCCTGCCCAACACACGCATACACCTCCTCAGCACTTCCAGTCAAATTAGCCATTGTTCGTAACATGCTTCATAAAAAAGGGAGCAGATCTGAATAGGTGTGAGCTGGCCAAACGCCCTCAGGAGCGTAGGCGTACAGAGGACTCGGCACGTGAGAAGCAGCAGTGACCAAGTTGGTTTTTCCTGTAGCTTTCTGAAGCAGCAGTGGGTGCAAAAGCGCTGCTGCTCAGCGCAGAGAGGACTTGGCAGAGCCGAGATGCGGCTGCCGTGGGAGCCCACACTGCCTGGCTGAATGAGGTCCCCCTTTGCTCCAGGCAGCGCTGGCAAGGCAGGGAAAGATAGCATTACATCTCTGTGTATTGCACTGCTGCTCCACTCCTGCTTTTATCTGTGCTTTCAAAGACTATAGAGAAGAAGAAAATGAAACAATCTAATTAACACCACAAAAACCACTTTCAACTCGTTGTGATATTTTTCCTTTTATTACATGTTCTTGAAAGCAGGGCAGCGTGCGAGCCTGAGGAACAGCTTCCAACAGCAGCAGCAGCCACCGGCAGCAGCCGAGTGGGATAAACCCAGACATCCTGCTAAAGGGCATGCCACGAGACGGGAAGGAAGTTCAGATGCGCTGTGCTGTTTAGAGCTGGAGGGAGTGGGATTTAGCTGCAGGTGAATCAGAGCAACTGCAGATTGCAGTATTTCATCATAAGCTGACTGCAGATGAAATAGCCTAGTCCAACTGGAAAGGAACAGAGATTGCAAAACCACATGGGAAGAGAAATTGCAGGGCAGGAGTTGGTGGGAACTCGGCTTCACGGTGCAGTAGCTCCCCAGGGCTGAGGTGCTCCTCTGCTGATGGTTATTCATGGTGTGCCGTTATGCTCTGCGGAGAAAGGACTGGTGCTTTCCATGCTGACCTTGTTCCACAAGGGGTATTCAGACTCTGCCTCTGATTCTCTTTCTGCAGTTTCACGTGAACTCATTAATTTCCACTTAACCAACATAAAGTTGTTACTGGGAGCTGTTAACTGGTCCGTATTAGAGAAGCAGATAAAGTGATTAGTGTGCAGATGGACTCTCTGGGGGAAAGATGCTGTACAAAAGTGTGGTTTGTTAATTATTACTATGCTTAGCAGGGAACTGTTTTTTTTGCCCATTCACTTGTAACTTGGCAGACTCTCAAACCTGTGACCTTTCTCCCTGTCCTCTCCTGCTAGTTAATGAATGAATTTTTTGGAGGAAGGTATTTTCAAGTTCATTGCCTGACTCTTTTCATTTTTAATGCAGCTCATAATGGGACTCAGTTTTGCCCAGGTTCCTTTTTTCCTATCAAAGCAACAGTTGTCTCTTCTCCTAACTGCCCTCTTTTCCATCTCCTTTCTGGCTGGAGGGTTGGATGAGAGGATGGTAGAGGAGCACGGGGGTTTTGCTGGGTCAGTGAAGGATGCTCTTAGCAGGAAATACTGAGAAATCGAGAGTCTGGGCAGACAGAGAGGCAGGGCTGGTCAGGGGCTGGGATTTTCCTGCAAACGTTAGAATGGGTGCCGGCCTCCTCCGTCAAATTGGGAACATCAGAAAACAGCTGAGGTGCACAAAGTGCTGAATGAGACGTCTCATGGACTCGCCTCGCCAGTGGCAGCCGCGGACAGACCGTCTGCGCGTTCACGTGGACACCTGCGCTCTGTGGGCACCTCTTGCCATCCGGCCTCATGGCAGATCCCTCTCCAGGCTGCCCCCAGTGCGGACCATGTACGTCGGCAGCACGGCCGCTGCACCCGGCAGCGCAGGCTTCTCTCCAAGAACTGCAAAGGGCTGCATGATTTAATCAGAACTGAAATGGATATGCATTTAACGTCTTTTCTGGCCACAGACGTCATCCTGGTCTGATTTAGCTCTTTCATGTCTCACGAGCACTGCCTCATTCCCATACGTTTTTTTTTTTTTGCTCTGTCTGAAATTGAGTGCAAAGAAAGGCTAACAACACAGACTGCCCGCTGCTGAGAATTAATGCCCCACCTCCTCTGAAGACAGAAATTGAGTCTGTTCCTGTCCTCGGCTGATGAAGCATTTGTAGGAGAGGGAAGGAGGGAGATGCTAGGGAACACCAGAGACTGCAGACCCACATTTATCATTGCTTTAAGTTAATTAACCCACTTAGACTGGCGCACGTGAGACTGCAGAAGGTAAATGGCCTCAGGAACCAGCCTTCTGAAGGGAATCCGGCACTTGTTGAAAAGAGCTGTAATGGTATATAATGACATGACCGTTTCTCCTGAACCCTGTAAAAGGCACCTGAGTTAGCCCTGCCTGGGGGGATTTCTGCAGGGACGTCTGCTCAGGGTCTCAGCTGGGGCTGTCAGTGGGGGGAAGGAAGCCGCTCAGGCGTGCAGCCCCGAGAGGGACTGTGGGGTTTCAGTGGTTGCGTCCAGTCCTCTGGAGGTGGTGGGAGATCAGAGCAGCTGTCCCGGACCTCAATCCAGATTCAGCAGGGACTCAGCACAGGTAAAGGCCCAGGAAGGCGACAAGTTTTCAGCACACTATGACGATTAAGAGGCAGATTGTTGTGTTTCATCCTGGTTGAAGCACGGTGCGCATCTCTGAAGGGAAGGTGCAGGGCTGACTTTGCAGCCTTTCCAGGAGACGCTCCAGAGTCGGGCAGTGGAGGCTTCAAAGGCTGTATGATTTTAGTCTGAATTTCGTTTGCCTGGAAGCACCTACCACCCAGGCACAGCGCTGCTCACTGAGCTTCTGGCACAGATGCGCTCAGGTGAGTGAGGGGAAATGTGCCTCCTCGGTTGGTGGGAGAGGGCGAATGGACAGACAGGAGGGATAAGGTCGCTGATACAGGAAGCCAGATCAGCTTGGCGTCTGCCTCTCCTGCCCCAGGCCTGTCCTCACATGGCAGTTTCTCCAGCTGAAGAGCATGTTTCTGTATTATAATACTGCACCATGGTGCTCTGCTGAGCTTTAATTTTCCAAGCTGAGAGCGTGGCAGCAGCCTGTGTGGCTGTTGCTGGCTGGGTGAAGAAACCCAGCAATGACCCAGACTAACCATTACTTCCAAGTGGTCAAGTCCTGCAGGAACCAGATAGGCTATCTGGACCAAAGCAGGAGCTCCCCACAACTGTCCGTGCCCCCCAGCCCCCTGCCCCTGTTGCAGGGTGGGCTGACTTTGGTGATGTTTCAGAGCAGCATGCCTGGCGCCACAGTGGGACGCTTCTCTCCTGGCAGGGGACAGAGATGCGCTGCACCCTTCTGCAGCACTCACTGGTCCTGGCTCTCTCCGAGTGCCCAAACTGGGCACCAGCCTCCTCAATTAATTGTGTCAGTGTTTAAGGTACGCAGGGGCAGTATAGTACCAAAATGTGTGCAAAGACCTCATAGAAAGGTGCTTTTAAGTACAGATGCTTCCACCAGTATTTTCAAGTGTTGCAGTCAGCAGATTTACCCTGAAGCCTGGTTATGGTTTTATTCAGTCTCCAAATAAAACTGCAGTTTTTCTGTATGTACATGCACGTATATAAGCCACATGCTCCTGCATTGCCTTTGTACCTCAGCTTAATTCATTCTACTAATTAGTTCATCACTGGTGTTCCCTAAGACATAGCACTAGAGTAAGGCCCCCCTTCCTTCCCCCGGAGCGTAGCTTAGCTGTTGCCAGTGCCTAGCATGTGCAGAGAAAACCCAATTACAGCAGCCAATTACATGTGGGGAGCATGGCCAGGCTGGGATCCACAGAAGGTGAATTTCAGGAGATGCAATTTTCCTCTGTAAATCTGAAATAAGGTAAAATAACCTGTTGGTGGTTGGCCTGTGGTTTCCCCAGTCCTCGGTCTTTCTGCTCTCAGCTGCCTATTCATTTTTGGGGCAAGAAATTCACCAGGAAAAGCGATTTACAGACTTTCTGCTTGGTAAAGAGAATTTTCCTTCCAGGCCATCAGTCTGAAGGAGAGGGAGGATTTTAAGAGTCTGGTTACAGATAATATATCAGTGACTGAAGGAAGTGGCGGGGAGGACTAGTCATGGATACGCAACATTTCCTCTGCCAATTAACCTGAATTGCTGACCGGAGTAGTGATGGCTGGAAAAATCAGCGAGTGAGAGGGGGAAACCTGCAGGAACGTGAGAAGTGACTGGAGTCAGCGGGAAGAGTTCAAAAGCCAGAGTAGCCTGTCCCCTCACCTCTCTTGCTGTTAAGCCACCCTGCACAAAAGGACAGAAAAAGGAGGCCAAAAGCTAGAAGTGGGGAATCAGCCAGTAAGGGATTAATTGGCAGTTAAACTATA